ATCCCCTTCTAGTGGCAGAAGGCGGAACAGCAGCTTCCCATTACTTTCTATGGACGGTACAGAGCAGATACGGATTACAATGGTTTTCAATGCATTCCTATGGGAATGCAGATTTTGACCTGCGAACTTTTTGACTTGCGAACCCCCTTTCAATACGGATTAAGTTCGCAAGTCAAGCCCCCACTGTATACATAAGATTTTAAAAAAAATTTAAAAAAATCAGAAGATGATTGGGAAGAGGAAAGAATGTGAGGTGTATTTCACCAGGCCTAAGCAACACATCCCAAGTGCCTATACTGTAATTAGTGAAACACCACCTACAAACACATATCCCATCTTTAGCAGAACATATCACAACTAGCTGCATGAGGGAAAAGCACATTCAAATAATTCTGGCTTGAAAAAGTAGGTTCCCCCAGCAGCAGAGCAAAAAACGCCACTTTTTCTGCCACTTTTAACACAGTGGTTTTTCCTCCTATGCAAATATTACACACTACGTGGATGCAGGGTTTGGCATAATACTGTCTACTGTATGTTGCTGTTCGGTGGCGTTTTCTACTCTCCTGTTTGGTGCTGATCTCTGACCACAATAAATTCAACTCAGTTTCTGGGGAAAAAAGGGCAGGACCCATTCAAATCAGTTTCTTCATCCTGAGGTCAGTAAAAAAACATTTCGAATTTTATAAACAGAGCAAACCTCACCGTGCTTGCCTTTAAGAGTCATACACTTTAAACAAGGGGAAACCAAAGGCGTTTCACAGGAACGGTGCACAGAGGTGGGAATGGCTTGGTCCAAACAGAGGTGCTGGCCACACAGTGGATCGGGGGGGGGGGGTTTCCCCCCCTCCCTTGTGGGACAACGGGGGCCATTCTTGCCTCGGCGGCAGCAGGGCTCAACAGTAAGGGATCAGACGTGGTGGGAACGTCCGCGATCCTCATTCCAACAACTCGGCACCTAAAAACGGGGACGGCCCCTTGGCTGCCTTGCCTCAGGCAGCAAAATATGTTTGGCCGGTCCTGGTCCCACTAGAACCAATATAACTCAAGTTACATGTCCGGGCTAAACGCCTTTCTCCCTGCCGTTCGCTGACTTTGGGGTTCCACCCCCCCGCAGACCTCAATGTACTTCCGCCGCCTCCCCAGCCTTTGAATACTCACCTTTCCAGCCTTAAAGCAAGCCTGGGCCAGGAAGGTGCCTTTTTTTCCGGCGGAGCGCACCGAGCGGGCTTCTTCTGCTCGCCGTCTCCGAGAAGCCCAGCTTTCGTTTCCCTGCGGCGACGCTCTCTTCCCCGCCGTTCCCCGCCCAGCTGGCAGGTTCCCCTCTTTCCGCGGCGAAACCGAGACCCGCCAAGAATCGAAACCGAAAGGCCGCCCGGCGAAGGAAGCGCGGTTGCGCCGCTCTGGGGCGGTGGGGCTACCTCCGTTAATGGCGGCCATGGGGTGGGTGGCGCCTTGCTCTTTGGATCACTGTATTTGGCTCTTGGGTGGGGGACAGGTCCCCGCTTCCAGCGGTTTTAATTGCCATTCCAGTGCTTATTTGTATTACCGATGTTTCTCTTCCACCGTCTTTTTTTTTCCCTTTTCTTTCTTTTTGGTCAGTCACAGCGAACCATGTTGGGCGTAAGGACAAACAAATCCAGCCAATCAACCCGTCACTAAAAGGTGTGCAAGTGTATACAGTACCAGCTTCCCAGGGCTAGATTTGTAAACAGTTTTTGCAAAATCATTCAGAACTTCGCCAAGAAAGTTTAAGAAGAAAAACGACGAAAATATGGCCAAAACTCATGCTTAGGTATGTATTTGGCCTGTCTTCGGGCTTGTCTACCTGGGCTCAACGGGAGCGGGCTGGATCAGGCTAGATAGAGCTGATTATGGTCGGGTAGGGGGTCTTCTAGCTATTTGATGCAATCCTTGGGGAAAGCTTTCCTGAACAGAAAGGACTGACTTGTGGAATGACAGCAAAGATGGGGCTAGCCTATACTCCTGTGGAAGGGAGTTCCAAAGTCTAGGAGCAGCACCAGAGAAGGCTGCTATCCCATTTATTTATTTGATTTATATACCGTCCATCTGGCAACCCAGGCCACTCTAGGTGGTTTACATGACATAACAAAACAGGGTATGAAACAAGATAATACAATAACAGTATACATTAATACAATTAAAGTATACATTAATACAAAATTAAACAAGTAAAAATATCAGTGAACATTAACATAAAAAAGGAAAAAGATGCTGGGGCTGAACAATAAGTTGAATCAAGATAGAGTCCGGGAAGGCCTGTCTGAAAAGGAATGCTTTTAATTATTTCTTGAAAGTTCCCAGTGAGGTGCCAGGCGAATTTCAGGTGGGAGAGTATTCCACAATTGTGGGGCTACCACCGAGAAGGCCTGGTTTCTAGTCACTGATTTCGAAGCCCCTCTCGGGGTCAGAACCCTCAACAGCCCAGCCTGGGAAGATCTTATTGAACAGGCTGATCTAGTTGGAACAAGGTGTTCTGACTGATAACAAGGTCCCAAACCACTTAGGGCTTTGCATGTTAACACCATTACCTTGAAACTGGCACAGAAACGAACAGGTAGCCAGTTTAGGGCGGCCAAGGTGGGGGAAATATGCTGACATATCCTCACCCCACTGAGCAATCTGGCGGCCGAACTGTGGACCCTCTGGAGTCTCCATAATAGCACCAAGGGCAGCCCCACGTAGAGAGCACTGCAGTAGTCTAATCTCAAGGCTGCCAGTTCATGAACCAGCATGGTGAGGGACCCAGTGTCAAGGTAGGGATGCAGCTGAGCAATTCACCTTAGATGGAAATAGGCAGTGCCGTCCACAGACATTGTTAAGGACACACTCCTTCCTGTTCTACTAAGCACATGGCTCTTTAAGTAGAGTATGTGGTGTTTCTATCTGGGCAGTTCCTAGGAGTTACTTCAGGCCTTTTCTTGGTGTTACTCTACAGAGAAATCCACTTACCTCTCTGTCTTTGTCTCCTGGGTCTCCTTCCTATCTCTCCTGCGGCAAACCCCCTTTTTGCTCTCCTGTTCGCAAGCTCTCTGGGTCTGCCTTTAGCTTTATTTGTCAGCTGTGCTCTGCCCAGAGTCGGGAATCAAAAGGATAGGTTGAGGAGGACCAGCAAGGACATTTTGCCTCGTCAGTCTCCCTCAAAAGGTCATCTTGCAGGGCGACCAATGCCGTCTCCATGCTATGACGTGGCCTAAACCCAGACTGGAATGGATCAACCGCGAAGTGCCTGAAGCTGATTGGCCACCACTCGCTCCACCAGCTTGCTCATAAAAGAGACATTAGCAATGGGTCTATAGTCTTTATATAATCTGCTGCCAAGTTGGGCTTTTGAGGGATCAGTCTAATGATTTTCTCCTTGAGGGCAAGGGACACTTTGCCTTTAGGGAGATCCATTAATGATGACAGTAGCCCATTCTGTTTTTATAGGACTGGCCGCTTTCAGCAGCCATGGTCCACCAGCTTGCTCATAAAAGAGACATTAGCAATGGGTCTATAGTCTTTATATAATCTGCTGCCAAGTTGGGCTTTTGAGGGATCAGTCTAATGATTTTCTCCTTGAGGGCAAGGGACACTTTGCCTTTAGGGAGATCCATTAATGATGACAGTAGCCCATTCTGTTTTTATAGGACTGGCCGCTTTCAGCAGCCATGGTGGGCAAGGTTTTATAGGACTGGCCGCTTTCAGCAGCCACGGTGGGCAAGGATCTATTGAAGAACTGGTGGCTCTACAGCTTTCAAGCACCCTGTGAACCTCAAGTGATGTCACCGACTGAAACTGTGTCAGATTCTCTGGGCAAGGCAGAGCAGTGGACGTCTTGGCTCGATCTACTGATAAAGAGGAGGACTCCAGGTCCTGGCGGATCACCTCCACTTTATTTTTTAAAAAGGCTGCAGATTGGTGACAAGAGATGCTACTGGGAGGCCTGTCCTTGTGAGCAATCCCGGATAAATCGTGCAGAATACAAAAAAGTTCATCTTGATGGTCACAAGCTTTGTGGGATGCGAAGTAAGATCATCTTATGGACATCACTTTAGCTAAGTAGATACGATTTATTGATTATTAAATTAGCTTCCATTGGGTCCCATCTCCAAATGCTCTCTAGCCTCCTCCTATTTTCGTTCATCACACATAGCCGACGTTCTGATGAACCCTGGGGGACCTCAATGCCACTGCCGAGACTAAGCCTGTCAGCTTTGGAAAGGAGAGTACTGGGCTGTGGGTAAGCCAGCACCATCCCAAATCGATCCCTATCTCCCACCGACATGTGGAGGGCCTCCAGGCCTGGGATTATCAAAGCAGAGGGCCTGACAACCTCAAAGGTGTTTTTATGAATAATGGCAACTCACCAAGCACACCTGTGAAGCTGGCAGGACTGAGAGAAAAGCCTCCCCTGATGTTCGTAACTAGAGATGGGGTTATTCGTATTCGTATACAAATATCCCCCACAGGTGCAGATAAGGAGGGCTCTGGCCCCCTGGGGCCAGACAGACCACCCTCGATTCCACGGCTGCTGCGGCTCCACACTCCCTCCCTATCGCTCTGGAGCTCACGGTAGATTAGCCAGTCCTGGCAGAAGGCGGGATGATGAGCCTCTCTGCCAGGGTAAAGAGTTCCGGAGTGATAGGAAGGGAGTCCGGAGTCCGCAGCAGCGGTGGAGTTGTGAGTGGTCAGTCTGGCCCCAGGGGGGTTGGACCCTCATTATCTGCACTTGAGGGAGGATATTTGTATATGAATACCCCCATCTCCATAACACTCAAGCATGCTCAAAAAGACAGATGCAATCCTTGAGATAGTTTGGGCCCAAGTGGTTTAGGGCATGGCCATTGGGAAGTAAGAGAATAAGACAATATGTTGTGAATTATTTCACATAACATACAGTTATTCTTGAAAACTCTTTCCATAGAATGTTAAGAATTAGAGAAGATGAACTTTAAGGTAAAAAACATTTAATATGTTTATTATTATTTTTGTATACAAATGCCTGTTCCTCTGAAAAATGTTTTTTTTAATTTAGAAAAGTTGTATCTGAAGGTCTGTGACTACAGATTTAAAACTTGCAATATTTATCATACTTTAACTTTGTACCCAATTTTGTTCCTGCTAAACACTCTTCAAATTTTGCATCCATTTCTTGGCTCTGAGCTTCAGTGAACAAAGTCTTCCAGTCACCCACTACACCTGGACAGAAACAATGAAAAATATATTACTGTATTTGTGTCTCCCTATAGAGAGACTCAACTATTCAGTGTGTTATTTTGGAATGTTATTACTAACATATTCTATTAACACTTTACAGTTCAGTTCTACAACTCTTTTCAGAAGTAAACCCTGATCACATTGCATAGCCCACCAGTTTCAAATGCAGCAGCATAAATCTCTGGGGAAAATTGCCACTAGTTAAGAAGTCAGTGCTTGTGTCTATCATGTTGTGGGACATGAAGAGAAATACAAGCATCAACTTCTTATCTGCTGGCGGCTCAAGAGAAATACAAGCTTCAACTTCTTAACTGCTGGTGGCTCATATTTATTTATTGCATTTATTGAATTTATACCCCGCCCATTTAGTCAACTGACTACTCTGGCTCACCTGTGAGATTCATACCATTGGGCTTAAAGCCCCAGGGGATGGGATTCTGAACACTACATTCCATGACACTTTTGGTTATTTGTGTATTTGAAATATTTTTACCCTACCTTTCTCCTTAAAAGGATCATAGGGAGCTTACATCATGAAAATACATTTTTTACCCTACCTTTCTCCTTAAAAGGATCCTAGGGAGCTTACATCATGAAAATACATCATTTAAAACTAACAACATGAAGCATACAAATACTAAAAAATGATCTAAGAAATTTCATACAAATATCATAAGCAACACCAAAACGCATTCAAAGGGAAAACAATTTATTTAAAATCCCCATTCGGGCAGGGAGAGAATGGTCTTCGCCTGCTTGCAGAAGGACCGCAAGGATGGGGCCAGCCTCGTCTCCGCTTGGGAGAGAGTTCAAGAGCAGGACCGAGAGAAATGTCTGTCCTGATTATCTTAACACTCAACCAGGCTGAGAAAGGGAGGTGTGCTGCTTGAGGTATGTTGGGCTGAAGCCATTTAGGGCTTTATAGGCAAGAACCAACACCTTGAATTCTGCTTGGAAGTGGATTGGCAGCCAGCGGAGCTTTTAGGTGGGGAAGTAGTATAGCATACCACGTTCCCACATAATTAACTAGGCGCTTCAGTAAGGACGTAATAAGAATATAAGTGTTAGGAGTTTTGTATTAGAGATGGAAACATTAGGGCACAAAATGTGTGTATGTGTGTGTGTGTTACAGATTCCACTAGGAGTTTTGTATTAGAGATGGAAACATTAGGCACAAAATGTGGGTATGTGTTTGTGTATGTGTGTTACAGATTCCACTACAGCAGTTGTCAGTGTGTGTACAGGTTCCACTAGAACAGTTGTCCACCTTGGGTCCCCAGATGCCTAAAGGGTTAA